ATATATATATATATATATATATATATATATATATGTCGACAATATTTGAGCTTTTTAATGTGTAACTATTTAACAGAAGTGTGACACCTTTACCGAGAGTGTTTATCAAACGTACCTCTGATGTTAATATCATATGCGAATGACGATATTAGAAATTACCAAGATTGACAACAAAAGTGCTTGATTGGAAAATGTTTTTCTCGAACCATCGTACCTTATTATGAGTCTTTTTCGTACTTATTTAGCCTGATAGAAACATATAAAGAAAATAGGATTGCGGCATTAATGCTGTCATGCATCAAGGAAGTCATGCGCAAAGTGCTGGTCTCTATGATTAGATGATAGTCATATGTATACATCCGTGCTTACTAAACGTGGTCCCTTTTTCTCTTTCCTCTTTTAGCTCGACCTAAACGGACGCGAATCATAATCGGCAATCGCGAATCACAAAAATTGCATTCACGCCACGAATTCCTTAAATTTGGGTTTCCTCGGATAGGGTACGCCAGTCGTCACGGCATAACGCTCCCTAATCGATTTCAGTCAACATCCTAGACTGCAGGAAACCTATTTGGATGGCTGTTTTCAAATTTGTTGACAGCGCTAGGCCAGTTTTGCCGTCACCGGTGGGTTTGATATCAACTACCCTCCCCCCACCTCGCTGAAGGGAGGGTGGTGGGGGCGGTGGGGGGGGGGGGGGGTTGAAAGAGCCGCACCGGGACGCTTCCCGCATCACTGTCCGACAAACGATGAATATTTGATACGCTGAGCTTTAGTGCTGCCATCTATGTCACACAAGGCTGTCACCTACAGAAGTATTTGAAAACTGTTCCTGTACAATCACAAAAGAACGACGAGAAAAAAGGTTTTAGGACAAAAGAACCCTTTGAAAAGTAGGCATGCACAAAGGACGTACCCAATTGTTGCAAGACAATGTTGGCAAGGTATAAAGTCCATGCAGCTCGACCACCAGGGGACCAAATTGTGTACCGCCATTTCTAAATTTCGTTGAAAATGGTTTCCGGTAATGATCAAAGGTATGAATTCGAGTGAGAAATTTCTGGTTTCATCCAGTGTACAGTTTACTCTCAGGCAATCTTGGGGCGGATGCAGACAAGGTGCTATTCAAAGAGTGTGCATCAAGGCAACTTCAGCTGTTGCATCATTCTCTCTGGCCTTCGATCTACATTAAATAAGTCACCGCATACCGCTTGTCACTCGCACGTCTGCCCGCCGTATTCCACAATCGAGCTGACTCCCGCCGCGTCCGTGAGCTGGCGCCAAATACGCGCTCAGGGGGCATCGGGCGGGGTCGTCGGCAGACCCGTCGTCAGGGTGAAGGACAAAGGAGGAACATAACAAAGTCAGCGGACGGCCTGCAGTGGATCTGGCGGCCGCCGGGGGACGGCAAGTTCGTGCCATGACGAGTTAGACTTACATACAAACGTCTCCTGACAAGCTTTTTCCATACGATTTTTTCTGCTAGGGCAAGCATTTTTGTTGCGAATATTTCGTGACGAACATTTCCCCATAAGATATAGATATATACGTACTCTTCCATTGCGAACTTATGCCGTTATGAACATTTTAGCCTGCATATTTAACCTAAACGGACAATAGATGTACAAATTTTATCTCACGAATAACCGCCATGCATACTTTTCTTGACATACTTTTGTCCACAAACCTGGTAAAAATATGCATGAAAAGGTGGATACAACTGTCGCTGGATAAAGTTCATATTAAAAGGAATTCGTATACACAAAAGCTTGTATTAAAACAATCGGACGCAGGTGTTCGCGCGCAAATGTTTACACGCAAATATCCATCAGGAATATTAAGTTATGACAAAAGTGTGTGTAGAACAGGTCGAAAGCCAATGTTTCAAGAAAGCACTTTGAGATTATACACCGAATTTTTCAGAAATAAATCTCGTTTTGTATAACTTAACGACTGAGTTCGCTTCCTTCATGTAAAACATAACTTTTGCTTTGATTAATGCCAGGTTATTCTATCCCTTGATGCCAAATCTGAACCCATTTTGCTACTGTGTCATGCACAAAAAGGCACACCCAGGGTCAGTACATTGCTGATGTTGATGCCGGCCCGCTGGCGCGCCATGATCTGATGACCCAGAGTAGCCTCGGGTTTTCTCGTTTCGTATCGCTGACGAAAAGAATGGAAAGATTTTCCAAGTTTTCAGCTCCCGGCGCACATGGCCTCACTGCTTTTACTGATCCAGAACCAATTCTAAGCGAAAACTCGCGTTTCGCAAAACAATACGAGACTTCGCGATGTCACGTCCCAAACCCGTCTTTGTGAAACTGGCGGACGTTTGTATAGACTGCTAACGATTCAATATATATATATATATATATATATATATATATATATATATATATATATGGTAATAATTTATGTGGTCCCTTAATTGCAATGACGTTTACCACGTAAACAGATTCTAGTAAGAATGATGCACGGCAGTGCAAAGCTTGCTTTCCTGTAACTTCCTCTAACAGCGCTAAGAATATGTAGTGTTTTTCACTTAGTTGGTGTTAGAATACGCATAGATACAACATTTTTTAGAAAAAGAATGGCAATAATTTTTAAAGCATGAGGCTGCTGAGTGCAGTGAGAAATCGACATAAGAGGACCCAAACAACCATCCACTGTACCACTCTGAAAAGCGGTCTAAGCAATGGGGAGCTCCAGGGTCCATCTTTTTGGCTGCCCCCTAGTAAACAACACGGTTCTGTACTTTTCGGTCACTTTTGGCATTGCAAATTTTTCATCCATGGTCAGGTGACGTATTCCGATAGATACCTTGAATCGTGAACTCGAATTCCAGTGATGCATCATGATGTTGCTCTAGCCTTAACAAGCTCAGGTACCGGTCTCCGTCGCTAGGTGACTCTCGCTTCGCGGCTCCAGAGAGCTCCCGCGGATAACTTCGAGGGTAAATGTTGGTCAAGATCTTTGATGGCTAGCCTTTGAACGTAACTTACGCTACGCAAAAAGCGTGCGTTCACAAAGCCTTTAGCTAACACAATTTTTTACCGCTTCAGAGCCCACCATTCTTTCCCAGATACGCCATGGGGTAGGCGTGCGTTCTGCCAATTTTTTCCCTCCCACGAGAACGTGCCCTTCGGTGTCTAAAAAAGCCTCTGACGCGTCTTAGCTTCCTATGCACTCCGCCAGGTGTAGCTGCAGCACACGGTGCGGCTGAACCCCCATCCCACCCCACCCTTGAGCTGATAAAACAGCCGGCATCGGCGCCGGCTCTGAATCAGAACCACGACCGATGATGCATCTTTATTCACGCCCTCTGCTGCCATAGCCGCCATGATGACAACGGCCACTAATAACCCGCTCTGATTGTACGTCGGGACAGGGACCGGGGCAAATGCGGCACCAAGTGCCGAACCGATGTCGTGGCCGACTCGGACCGAGTCGGTGGCGCACGGAAGTCCGCGCACACCGTCACCAGCGCTGAGCGGTCGGGGGGGGGGGGGGGAGACGATCAGACTGCAGTCGGAACTCAACAATGTCATGAGTGAAAACCGACGCAGTCTGCAGGATTCGAACCCGCGCGCTACGCATCCTGCGTAGCGTCAGACGGCGGTAGCGGTCAGGGAGAAGCGGACGCGGCCCGACCGCCAGTGTCGTGACGCTGCATTACTTGAAGGGGACCTCGGACCGAATATAGCCAGCTTTTGACTGCCGTTCTCTGATGGACGTTGGTGACCGGAAGGACAACGCTCCGAAGACCGAAGCGTTACACGCTGGGCGAGATAATGTATATATATTTTTATTCGCATGTGGCATGACGGATGTGGTCGCGACTGCAGGAATATGACGTAGTGCTGTTGCAAAGCGTTGACAGCATGATTTGAGCTCGAACACCTCAAATTGTAGCGGAATATGTGGTATCACCCGAGCATTACATCGAGCGCAATATGCAGCCGGCATACAGGCTGTATCAGGTCTGCAAAGGTCATCTGCCAAGGAGTTCGATGGTACTCGCTGTCACTCATGCCACATTACAATGTCCGCGTGCACAACCTACAGCAGTACTGCGTCTTCGAGCCTATCATGGCAACAAGCGGTTCGCCTTATGCGCCAGCTCCAAATGGAAAACAATTACGGTCATGTGCTACGGGAATGATGCGATATTACATCATCATTATCGCTTGATAACGGTCCTTGGTATAGACATCCGCCTGCACAGCGAGCGGAGAGTTGGACGCCCTTCGACAGATATCTTACATTAAAACGTTGGTTTATGCCGCATTCGCTGCTCAGGCGTGTGCAAGACTATCCGACGCTTGACTCGCTAAAGATGACGATGGCTCATCCAAAGACGGAACGGAATTATATGAGTTTAAACTAAACAAATATGTCAGTATCAGGTGCGTAAGACATACCCAATGCATGAAGCTGGCAAACTGCCAAACACATGGGGCTCAGATGTTGTTTAAAGGGAGTGCTTCACGTTTGTATGGGGTTTTGAACTGAAATAGCCATCTTGAAGATCCGTTGGTTTAGTTCAACGCCCTGCTCTTCTTATGACATACACATCCCTCCCTAGTTTCCCAGCTGCACGCCCGCAAAGACGTGCAGATTATTCCGGGGAGATCATTCAAAGGTCACCCAAACATCCATGACGTCATAATAGTCATTTGGATCCTGGCGCTCCATTAGCCGTGCTGGGATCAAGACCAAGAAAAGCATAATTGTTGATTTGTTCTTACCTGGTATTCGTGCTCACGACGTCCAGATAGAAAGGCTGTCAATTGGCTCTCAATAAGTGTTGTGCACGGTATGATGACGTTATCAAGCGAGGAGGCATTGAGAAGCATAGTTATGAAACAGGAAAATTGCGTTGTCTAGAGTAATCTTGTCCGCTTAAGTTGCTCGATACTGGCTGGTTATCATTCTCTTTAATCGGGAACAGACGATAACACGAGACACACTCCGCAAGTTACTTCGAAGCTACCGTAGCGGTCTTGGCCGAGTGGTTAAGGCGTTGGATTTAAGCTCCGATAGGGTCTCCCTGCGCAGGTTCGAATCCTGCAGGCCGCGTCGGTTTTCACTCATGACACTAATGAGTTCCGATTGCAGTCTGATCATCTCTTCACCGCCTGGGCGTTCCGCGCTGGTGACGTGATGTGCGCGGGCTTCGGTACGCCTCGCTTCGGTCCGCCACCGACTCGATTCAACTCGGCCACGACGTCGGTTCGACACTTGGCACCGCATTTGCCCCAGTCCCCGAAGTACAATCAGAGCGGATTACCAGGACCGCTGATATCACGGCTGCTATGACAGCAGAGGGCATGGATGACGACTGGTGGTCGTGGTTCTGATTCAGACCCGGCGCCGACACCGGCTGGTTTATCAGCGCAGGGGTGGGGGCATTTAAACCGCATCGTGTGCTCAGGTCTCTTGTGGAGACCTGATTTTTCTGTACCGAAGGATATGTTCAAAGATCGAAGATTGTGACCGACATTTGCCCTCAAAGTTATCCACGGGAACTCGCTGGAGCCGCGAAGCGAGAGTCACCTTGCGACGGAGACGGGTACTTGAGCTTGTTAAGGCTAGCGCAGCATCATGATGCATCATTAGAGATCGAGGTAGGGATTTAATGTTTCTCTCGGAATGCGTCACTTGATCATCTTTGAAAAATTTGTAATGCCGAAAGTGACTAAAAGTACAGAACCGTGTTGTTTACTAAGGGGCAGGCAAAGGGAGGCAGCCTTTTGCCCTCATTGACCTCATTGCTTGGGCCGTTTTGTTTTAGATTAGTACAGCAAATGGTTGTTTGTGTCCCCCTATGTCGAGCTCCCACTGCACTCAAGAGCCCCTTCCTCTGAAAAAATGTTGCCACTTTTTCTGAGAGATTGTTTCACTTCCGCGTATTTTAACATCAACTAAGTGAAAAACACTACACATTAAAACACTCTTAGCACGGTCAGAGGTAGTTTCAGGGAAGCATGCTTTAGACTGCTGCGCATCATTCTTACCGGAATTTGTTAACGTGGTATATATCATTGTAATTAAAGGGAAACACAAATTATTACCATACTACATATAACGAACCGTCAGGAATCTATACAAACGTCCGCCAGTTTCACAAAAACGGGTCTGGAACGTGACATTGCAAAGTCTCACAGTGTTTTGCGAAATGCGGGTTTTCGCTTAGGAATGATCTTGGATCAGTTAAAGCGGTGAAGCCAAGCACACCAGCAGCTTAATATTTGGCAAGTCTTTCCAATCTTTTCGCCAGGGATACGAAACAACGAAAAGCTAAAAAACAAGGTAAGTTGAATTAGCCTGGTGACTGGACGTTATGTCATCACTAGATTTCATAGGGGCCATGACGTCACAACCTAACACGCCACCGTCTGGCCGACATGGGAAAGTTTGCATATGGTTCCAGGCCATGGCGTGTAGTAATTGACAATGAACTGAGGAGGGGAGTAGACAAAAAGGCCTCTTTTGAATTGCTGTCTTGTGCCTGTGTTTTGCAACACTGTTACCAAAACTCCTGACATGCTCTTCTCAAATGTGCCAAAAGATTGGCAGTTTTGAAGGAAATGGGCTTAAAACGGCAAATAACGATGACACCAGAACGTTGCATTTCGACCGCAATCCAATAAAAACCTGGTACAAATTAGGCAGGCGTCGCCCCACTCGTCCCACTAGGAAATTGGACTCAGATTTGGCACCTAGCGATAGGATAAAATGGCATCAATCAAGCAAAAACTTATGTTCTATGTGAATGGAGCGAACTCCACCGTTAACTTATACCAAACAAACCTTATCCCTGCCGAATTCGGTGTACAAACTCAGCATGCTTACTTGAAGCATTGGCGTTTGAACTGTTCCGCATGTACTTTTGTTACAAGGACAGCGTCCGATTGTTTTCCATACGAAGTTCTACGTACACAGATTTCTTTTAATATGAACTGTATCCAGTGACAATTGTATCCGAATTTCGATGCATACTTTTACCAGGATTGCGGACAAAAATATATAAAGAAAAGCATGTATGGCCGTTGTTCGTAGATAGAATTCGTGTGCCTGTTGTTTGTTTAGATTGAATATGCAGGCTATCATGTTCGTAACAGCATAAGTTCACATCGGAAAAAGTACGCATATTTCAAGATCGCATGGAAAAATGCTCATCACTAAAAATTGGCAACGAAATGTTTGCTCTAGCAGTACAAAATATTGTGGAAAAACTTTCCAGGAAATGTTTGCACGCAAGTCTAACTCGTCATGGCACGAACTTGCCGTCCCCGGCGGCCGCCAGATCCACTGCAGGCCGTCCGCTGACTTTGTTATGTTCCCCCTTTATCCTTCACCCTGACGACGGGTCTGCCGACGACCCCGCCCGATGCCCCCTGAGCGCGTATTTGGCGCCAGCTCACGGACGTGGCGGGAGTCAGCTCGGTTGTGGAATACGGCGGGCAGACGTGCGAGTGACAAACGGTTGCGATGACTTATTTAATGTAAATCGAAGGCCAGAGAGAATGGTGCACCAGTTGGACTTGCTTTAACGCACACTCTTTTATAAGGACCTTGTTTGCGCCTGGCCAAACATTGCCCAAGGGCATCATTTTTTAACTGCATACTGGATGAAACTATAAATTTATCACTCGATTTCATACCTCAGATAAACACCGGAAACCATTTTCAGCGAAATGTGATCGCTGACGGTGCATAATTTGGTCCCCTGTTGGTCGATCTGTACAATCTGTACACCTTACGAACATCTGTTTGCGAAAAATTGCATGCACTCTTCACGTATGCGTACTTTTCAAAGCATACCTTTGTCCTAAAACCCTTTTTCTAGTTTTGTATCGCAAGGGGAAGGTTTTTATGCTTTTATAGGTGGCAGCCCTGTGTGATATAGATGGCAGCACTAAAGTTCAGCGTATGAGGTATTCGTCGTTTGTCCGACAGTGAGGCGGAGAGCCTCGCAGTGTGCCTTTCGGAGCCCCCCCCCCCCCCCCCTTGGTAAAGTATCCAGCCCTCCAGTGGCGGCAGAGCTCGCCTAATGGGGTCAATATTTGTGAAAAAGTGATCATCACAGGTAGGTTTCCTGCAGTCTAGGATGATCTCTGAAATTGATTAGAGAGGGGCCTTATCCTGTGGCGATCTGTGTACCCTGTCTGAAGACCACCCGAATCTAAGTGATTGGCAGCGGGAATGTAATTTTCGTCATCTGAGAGAAACACGCCTCTTTGTGAACCACGCTCGTCCAGGATGTTTCCCGATCACAGATAGCGTTCCTTTACGCATGATCAGACGTCGGTGGCGAAAAATTCGTACAGCTGCGTCGCAATACGCACCTGACCGACGCCACCACAAGAAACCGGACAAAGCAAACAAAGTAAGGCAAAACAAAGCAAAAGTAGGAGGGAAGGGATCGCCTCTATTCAACACGAACGTATGGCTAGCATTTAATCGCAGAAATGAGAAACTAGTATTTCGCATATGACTTGCATGATGGATAGCAGCATTAATGTCGCAAGTTGATTATGTATCATGCTAAAAGTGTACGAAAAGGTACGTAGCAAGATGCAGTTGCTCGAGAAAAACTTTTCCGACCAAGCATGCTCGTTGCCATTCAACGTAATTACTAATATCGACATCTATATATTATGTTAACATCAGGTGTACCTCAGATAAACACCCTTGGCAAAGGTTTTACACTTACGTTAGACAGTTCAAATGTAATAGCACAAATATATATATATATATATATATATATATATATATATACATATATATATATATATACGATCAAATCGGCACATTAGTGTCTGTGTTGCCTTTTTCGGAACTTGCCAGACATGAAAAGCTACCTTTTAAAATCACAGTTTTCACGGTGTTGCAGGGAAAAGTAGCTTGAAAAACTTTCAAAGAGGTCTCCGGGCGTTGCAGTCCCGCTGATGTCGCTCGGCCGCAGAAGGGGTCTAACACCAAAACGTCGGCTACAGCTATGGGGGTGGGAAGTGTTGGTTCTTGTATAATTGCTGGGAATCGATGAGCAGTAACGACTCTAAGTCCGGGTGGACCCGGACCCGAGTCTGGAGTCATGGCCTTTTGAGACTCGGACTGAAAAGTATCGATTCGTTTCTAGTCATTCCAGAAGTGATAGATCACATTCAAACTCCGAGTCCACACTCAGAGACATCGAGGATTACGGCATGATACCATGCTCGAGTCACACGAAATGTAAAGAATATTCGGGCTGAAGGATTATGATAATCTTGTTTCGGAATTGCACTAAGACGCAATCTAAATGAACCAAGGCTTAGTCCGAAACATATCCTGTAAAAGAGACAAACTTGTACATGGAACGCAAATGTAATTGCCGCATTAAGTTGGGATGGGTTGGGTGGACCAGAATGGGCTTAGCTAGGTCAGGTAAAACTTGGTTAGCTTGCACTAGTTTGGACCAGACCGTATTGCATCGAACACCAAACGTGCCGATTCTGTACAGACTACCAGCATACGAAACTGGGCGCATATCAGGCAGGGCTGGGCTGGGCTATGTTCCGATAGATTGGTTGAGTTAACAACCTGCTGCGATGCTTTGTTCTGGAGCCTTTTAACCATGACAATTGGGTGTTAACGAAAATCTGTCAACTTAAATCTTACTCCGCACGTTCCCATGAGGACCTGTCGCACAGGAGTTCAGGCCGCTAGGGCTTGAATTGGACCAGGAGTCTTGTGTCATGACAGACAATCGACCTGGACTTGGACTTTAAGGACTCTGACTAAGACTTGTGTAATATCTGAATAGTTAGCTCGGATGTCGAATTCAGGCTCAAGATGCCAGACTCGGACTCGGGGAGATTTTGGAACTTATGCGCACACTTGCCACAGGACCCACCCCGTTAATAAAGGAATGCTGTGGATATACCTTGGCACAATGCCGACTACGATCACAGCGATGACTACAAGGACGATAACGACAACGATGGCAATGGCACGATGCTGGGACATCGTTGGCGATGAAGACGGCATGACCTAAATTGTTAGCTCGCAGGTAAACAATAGATTGTCATAAA